GCTGTGGGTTACTGCGCAGTCAGTTTGAACTGCAAGGTTGGTGGTTCAAGCTCACCAGTTGCTCCTTGGAAACCCTCAAGAGGGTCGCTATGGTCGGAACTGACTCGACGGCACTTAACAACAACAACAACATATATTATCTATGTATTATAGATAATATACAAGTCAATATAGTCTGGTATGGTGCTATAGGATAAAACAGTGGACTACAAGGTTGGTTTGAACTGCAAGCTCAACGGTTCAAACCCACCAGCTGCTCCTTGGAAATCTTATACAGAGTCACTGTAAGTTGAAACTGACTCAATGGTACTTGACATAATACAGTCTCTTTAGAGAAGACACTTTGAAACTTGCTCTTCAGTGTAGAGAGGCTAAAGTGAATGGAAGAAATGAGGAAGTGAGAGAGCTGAACAGAAAATTTCAAAGGGCAGCTCATGATGACAGTCAAATGTTATAATGAAATATGCAAGAACCTGGAGTCAGAAACCAAAGGGAAGAATATGCTCAGCATTTCTGAAGCTGAAATAATAATGAAAAAAATTCACACCTCGACTTACAATATTGAAAATTTCTACAGACAAAATACTGAATGATGCAGAAAACATTCAAAGAAGATGGAAGGAATACACAGAGTCACTGTACCAAAAAGAAATGGTCGATGTTCAACCATTTCAAGAGGTAGCAGCAAATGATAAAGAACCAATGGTACTGAAGGAAGACATGCACGCTGCACTGAAGGCTCCAGGGATTGACAGAATACAAACTGAAGTATTTCAACAAACTGATAAAGCACACTGAAGCCACTCACGCATCTATGCCAAGGAATTTGGAAAAGAAGTACCTGGTTAATCGACTAGAAGAGATCCCTATTTGTGCCGAGTACAAAGAGAGGTGACCCAACAGAAGGCAGAAATCATTGAATAATGTCAATATCATATGTAAGTAAAATTTTGCTTAAGACAATTTAAAAGTGGCTACAACGGTACAGCAGGGAACTACCAGAAATTGAAGTTGGATTCAGAAGAGGACAT